CACACTAATTTTGGTCTTGGAGAACCCTCCAAACCTAAGGGCCAAGCTAAGTACACCCAAATCTTGACATTTAGAAATGAGGAGACATGGGTATTTTAAGCTGCTAAAATTTTGGCATGTTTATTGTACAACAATAGACAACTGGGGCTGGGAAGGTGGCTCAGTGGTACAGTGCTTGCCTTGCATGCATGAGGCCCTGGGTTCAATTCCTCAGCATCACATAAACAGAAAAAGCTGGAAGTGGTACTATGGCTCCAGTGGTAGAGCGCTAGCCTTGAGCTGAAGAGCTGAGGGACAGCGCCCAGATTGAGTTCAGGCCCATGACTGACAAAAAAAAAAAAAAAAACAATAGACAACTAATTCAACTCCCAACCAGCAAGGGAAATGGTGGTCTGATTCAAAAAGGGTAGTTACCATATAAATCATCTCTACAGAATGAGACCTATGTATCAATCAAGATTATAGTGTGTGCTGCTTCTTTTTTGGTCTGGGCCTCCCTAACTTTCATAATATTTCGAAGTGTTTTGAGGATAAAAATGTGATCCCCAAGCAAAAATGATCATTAGCCAATAGCAACCTAAATCTAGATATCCCAAGTCCTCAATATCACAATGTCAAAACTGTCTGATAAAGTTCTACACTCAGTGCTGCTGACTCCTGCCTATAATCCTTGCTACTCTGAAGATCAAGGTTCAAAGCCAGCCAGGACAGGAGAGTCTGTACTAAAAGATGTCCTTTCTGGTTTTGCATGAGAAATCCTCACAGCTAGACTTTCACCAGAAGATGACCATTTTCAAACTTGGCCTGACATCAGAATGTAAGTCTAGATTAACCTGGGACTTAGCCAAAATAAGTATCATTTGAAAACATGCAGCTAATGAATAGGAGCTAATGAATAGCATCACTTTTCTGTGGGTCCATAAGACAATAACATGAAGAAATTAAAGCCTTTGTTATTTTAAAGGGCAGGGACAATTGGAAGTTTTGCAGCAGGCAGTTACAAAATTTTCCACCTCTAGCTTTCCAAAGATGATACCAGTAAATGGCTTTGGGAATTGGGTGTGGAAGGTATTGCTTGGAAAGAAAATTCATCCTTGACAGTGTAACTCAATGTTGCTATACTCATCTTAAGGGCTAAAGAACAGATTGCTTAGCTCTTTTTTTTGGGGGGGGGGTCCAGTCATGGGGCCTGAACTCTGGGCCTGGGCGCTGTCCCTCAGCTCTTCAGCTCGAGGCTAGCGCTCTGCCACTTGAGCCACAGCACCACTTCCAGCTTTTTTCTTTTTGCTTATGTGGTGCTGAGGAATCAAACCCAGGGCCTCATGCATGCAAGGCAAGCACTCTACCACTGAGCCACCTTCCCAGCCCTGGGATTGCTTAGCTCTTTACATGTGCACTTAACTTTTTCTTATCTACTTCTTTTATTAGTTCCTTAAAATCATAGCATTCTATGTCAGGCAGGGCATGGAAAATTACAACACTGCCTCACAAAGAACAAATTTGTGCTTTTTAGGACTAATTTTGGTTTGAGGACTTTTTTTGTTTGTTTGCTTGTGGTGCTGGAAGTGGAGGTGCTAGGCAATTTTGTACCACTGACCTGTATCCCTAACTCTAGACCAATCTTTTAAAAAGATGATTGAGTGAGCTAAGAGGGAAAAACATCTACCTTTGCTTCTCTGCTACTTTGTACTGGTCTGATGTAAGGGAGCAAAAAGGACTCACATCTGTGACATTTTCTATCAGTGGGTTTCCTGTCTCAGATGCATAGCTTCATTTTTAAAATTTGAAATTTGTTATTTTGCCTTAGTTTGTCCCCCCAAAATAACATTATTGTCCTTATCACCTAACATCTGAACTGTCTTCAGGCTATAAAATGAGGACCAGAGACTCCAACTAACTGGTGTTAGTTGTATTGAAACAGTGCTTTATCTTATCAGTTTTCATTTTATTTATTTAATTACAGTGCTTGGTATTCCTCCCTCAATAAGCAAAGATGACCTAGATCAGTGGCCTGATGAATAAGCATGAAATTTTGATTTAGAAAAGAATATCCCGAACCTCATGGTGTGAATAAAGGAATCTAACCCCCTCACACACACTTTAAATAACAAAGCAAAGTGGCAGCAATGCTTTTAAACATCTTTCAACACAACACTATAGTAAGCAATAGAATAATAATTTAGGAAAAAAGAGGAGAACTTGAAAAATTACAAGAGAAGAAGATAACATTGTAAAAGAAAACACTGTATCACTGATCTTTTATTACCTTGAGGCAGAGACCAGAGTGAGGGGGAAAAAATCCAGTGTGAAAGGGAAAACGATGCTTAGAAGGAAAAAAATAACAGATGGAAAAAAAAAATAACATGACTCCTGTTGAGGCCGGATGCAGGATGTGAGCAGTCTAACACCCTACCGGCGTCCAAAGGACTAAAACCTTTAGACCCATTCACAGGAATGGCAATGACAAAGAATTGTGAAGTGGAAGGAAACTTCAGTAACAGAGAGAAAAACAGCAAAAGCCCAGCACTGTTACGAAGGGAATCCAATTCGCTGTCTTAGATTTTAAAATTGGGTTTTTGTTTGTTTGTTTGTTCTCGCTGAAGAAGCTCTTCAGAGGCAGCAACTTCAGCAGCAAACAACTTGATCGGAAGTCCCTCAGCCCACGGCACCTGAACTAAATCCTTTTTAAATAAAACAAAAATTCTGTGTGTGTGTGAGGGGGGGGGGGATTGATTTTGTTTCCTTTTCTTTTTCAACATGTCCCCATCCTGCACAGGAATTCTTGATGCTCCCGGTTGACCCGGGAGGACTTTGGAAGGGCCGGTCGGTAACTTTGGACCGGTCAGGAGTAACCCGAGAGCGCGCGCGCGCGGGCGGGCGCCCAGTGTCTGCAGCAGGCTACAGAAGGTTTGACAGAGAACAAAAGAAAGTCTGCCTGCTGCAAAAGAACGTTTTCCGATAGAAAACTCTATTCTGAAATAAAGAAAACAAAATAACCCCTCTGTGTTTTGGAAGCCCTTTAATGAACAAATGCCTCGGTTGCTAATACGCGTTAAAAAAAAAAAACTTTTCTACAAAGACTCCAAAGGAAGGATCAAATGATGACTTGTGCAAAAGAGATGGGCTCTGCAAAGGCCACTTCACAATCCAACACAAGGAAGGAAAGCAGGGCGACCGAAGACGCCCAGCAAATCGTACGCAGAGTTCCTGGGCACTGGTCTCAGGTTACTGCTCTACCCACTCGCCCAGCGCAGTCTGAGCTGAAAGCTCACTCAAGCCACGACAGCTCGCTCGCTCGACCCCGGACCGGGCGCGCGGGCGGGGTGGCTGGGTCGGCGATCGGGACACCCCAGCCGCAGGCCCTCTCCTCCGAGGGGCTGCACCTCCTCCCGCCGACTCCGGTTACTCCTCCCAGGCGGCCCTTCCTCCTTTTTACAACTGGGGGAGGGGAGCGAGACGGGAGTGCGGCCCCACGTGTTCTGCAGGAGTCTGGGGAAAGAAAAACGATTCGCAAGTCGCACTCCTTTCTCCTGGTTACTCAAACCTATAGTTAAGAGTCCAGCTAAGCAACCCTTCCCCTGCCACACATGCACGCACACACACACGCACACACACACACACACACACGCACACACACACACACGCCGGGCCAGGCACGGCTAACGTGTCTCTCTCGGGGTCACGTCTCTCCGCGGAGGCGCTGCTCTATTCTCAGCTTCTCTTCGCAAAAGGCTTTGGCAAATGCGCTCTTCTGTTCAGGAATGTGTGCTTTAGTGTGCCCGGAAGAGGAGCAAATCTTTCAAACTAATTCCCTTTCTGGTGCGTTTTTCTCTCCCGAGCAAATTCAGGGTAAAAGTTTTTCCTAACTTTTCCCTCCCTGTTCTCTGCCCCTCCCCTCAGGAATCCGCCCAGAGCACAGCAGACACCGCCTCCCCGCCCCCCCATCCCGCCGTTCCCTCGCCAACCCCTTCCGACCTCCACCCAATAGGGAGACGGCCACAGAGAAAACAAAGGCCCCCATTGGGCCTCCCGGGGTCTCGGGGCCCGCCCCCGAGTGGTTTGTGAATGGGGGGAGGGGAGGGGGCGGGGCGGCCCGGAACCCTGTGAGCCCGACGCTTCTCCTGGCCACTAGCACGTCTCCCAGGCGTTACTCGGCACTCGTTCCCGGCGGGCGGCGGCGGCGGCGGCGGCGGCCGGCGGCGGGAGTCGCCGACCGGGGTTGCGCTGGGTTGGAGAGGCTGGGTTCAGGCCTCGGGCGCAAAAGGGCCTCGCAGATTGAGACGCCGCATAACCGGATTTCCAAAAAAGAGCTCGCCCAGTTCCTGGCTCCCGGGCACCGATCGGACTCAGCCACTCGACTGAAACTTGGGGCCGACCTCTGGGGCCGAAGGAGGCGAGGGGGTGTGGAGGAGGCGGCGAAGGAGGGAGGCGGCGGCCGGCGGAGCCTCGGGGCAACGAGACGGAACAGCACGGCGGAGGGCGGCGGGGTCGCGCAGTCGGCGGCGCGGGGCTCCCGCCCGGAGGGGGCCGGACTGGGTGCGGGGGGCGTGCGCATTGCTGTGCGCTGGGGGGGGTCGAGAGACTTGGACAAACTTTGCAGGGTAACCGGAGACGCTTGTTGATCCTCGCCGCAGAGAAAGCCTCACCGTTACGTCTCGCCGGAGACGGGAAGGCGCCCCCCGCCCCTCCCGGAGCCCCTGTCCCTGGCCGACGCGTTTGGGTCCCCGGCGGGCAGCGCGAGG